CCGCCCCGTCTCGGGGGCTCCTCTGCCCGCACCTCCCGCAGTCGGGCCGGCTCCGCTCCGCGCTCGCGGGGTGCTCTCCCGCCCCCTGCGCCTCAGTGGCCGGCCACCGAGTCTGCTCTCCGCCCTGACCCTTCTGAGCCTCGGCTCTCGCTGCCGCTCTTCCGGGAGCCCTCGGGGCCCCAGCTCAGGCTGTGCGGGTGCAGCTCCCGCCAGGGCTGCCCCGGCTCGGGTCAGAGCGCCGCCCTACGGCTCGTCGTGGTTGGTCAGGAGCACGACCGGCTGCAGCTCCCTCCGCTCCCAGCCCGCGGGGCCTTGAGCAGCCGGCGGTGCCAACCCCCCCCCCCCCCCCCCCCGTGGCGGTCCCCTCCCTGCCTGCCTCCCCGTCTGCCCTCCGGTGAGGGTGAAGGGAGATGAACACGGCAAGCTGTTATCTTTAAAAAATAAAGATAAAAATACAGCTCATTCTCTTCCTCCCAAATGGCATTTCCTTCTCCCGGGCTCGCCATAAGCGGAGCTTGCACACTGCCTCTGAAGTGGCCCAGGTGTCCGTAAGCTAAGTGCTAACTGTGTTCTTCCGAGCTGACACACTGTGTGACGTGACAGGTCAGTTTCCTGTAGGGTTTTGTACCCCCTGGAGCTCTGTGCCGCAGCTGCCCTGCCCCTGCCCCTCGTCTCTCACCCCTTCTTTTCCCATGTGAGCCGCGAGGGGCTGGCACACATTCTGTGAACACTCAGGAGCCGGGCTGCATCTCCGCCTGTGTCCCCCCAAACGGAATGGCCAGAGCTCCGGCTGGAGGGTATGGCAGGTGGAGCTGTGCAGAAGTGCAGGGCAAGAGCAGGGTGGGCCCAGACAGAAACTAAAGGTCAAGTCCACTAGAGCACATTGAGAGTGGGAGCCTGACCCCAGGAGGAAGGCCCGTCACACGGCGAAGAGCAAGGGGAGCAGGCAGGGGGGAGTGGCTGAGGAAGATCCTCCGAGGCGCTGCAGGGGTCAGCCTTGGCTGGCGGGGTCGGGGAGCTATGCAGTCGCAGGAGGTGGCGCCATCAGTCACCCAGCCACCCCAGCCAGAGCAGCAGATACGTTCTAGACTCCCTCTTTTTCGTTCCTCACATCCAAGCAGCTGGTTTTCTTACTAAATACCCTGACTCAATTTTTCTTCAGTGCTAGTTCATGCCATCCTCTCCCACCTGGATGACTGTACAGCCTCAGTCTAACTCATCTCATGTCTCTTATCTCCCTTGAATCCATTTTTCCCACGGCAGCTGGAATGATCTTTCTTTTTGTTTTGTTTTGTTTTGTTTTTTATCCTCACCCGAGGACATTTTTGCATTTATCTTCAGAAAGAGCAGGAGGAAGAGAGAGAGAGAGAGAAACATCAATGTGAGAGAGACACATCGAGTGATTGCCACCCACCCAACCCCAACCTGGGCCAGGAACAAACTACAACCTAGGTACCATGCCCTTACCGGGAACCAAACCCTGGACTCTCTGGTCCGTGGGCCAACGCTCTAACCACTGAGCGAAACCAGCCAGGGCTGGAATGATTTTTCTGAAGCACAAACACAATTACTCCCTGTTAAAAACCACCAGTGTCTGCTTATTGCCTTTAGGAACAAGCCCAAGCTCCTTAGCATGTCACCCTCAGTCCTTGGCAATCAATGCCTGGTGACCTCTCTAGCTGCATTGTTCACCTCTCACTGACTCCAACATACACAAATACCCCTCCACACACTAGCACATACAGCATAAACAGACACATTCATACATATCACACACAGAAACACATTCACACTATCACACAACAGTTCACAAAACAGTCTCACAGCCTGGCTGGCGTGGCTCAGTGGTTGAGCTTCGACCCTGCACCAAGAGGTCTCTGGTTCCATTCCCAGTCAGGGCACATGCCCAGGTTGTGGGCCTGATCCCCAGCGGGGGGCGTGCAGGAGGTGGCCAGTCGATGTTCTCTCTCTTTCTATTTCTCTCTCGCTCCCTCCCTTTCTCTCTAAAATCAATAAAGAAAAGAATTTGAAAAATAAACAAAAAAACAGTCTCACACACCAAAAATAGTGCACTCTCACGTACTCATACCACATAGTTTTTCACACAACACACTCTCAAGGCACACACACCACACACTAACATACTCACACACATTCTCATATACACACATACCACACACCTCAGTCACACACCTACACCACACATTCCACACATATACCACACAATATATACACATCACACTATGCACTATACATTCATGGACCACACATACTTGCACACCACATTCACATGGTCACACACCCGATAATGACTTTAAGGCAACAGATAGGTGATTCACATCACACATGCTCATACCCCACAACTCTACCTACACCTGCACCCTCTCACATACCACACGCTCAATACACAACACACATCTCCACACAGAGCCACTTCTGGTTTTTCAACTCCAAAAGGGTCAAGCTTAGGGGGTTAGCAAAGGCTTTCTGGAGGAGGTGAACCCAGACAGATGGTAGTGAAGGGGGAAAGGGGCATTCCAGGAGGAGGAGCAACGTGTGCCAGCCACACGACCCTAACCGGGGCTGGGGACAAACTGCAACCAAGGTACGTGCCCTTAGCAGAAACCGAACCTGAGACTCTCTGGTCCGCAGGCCGATGCTCTAACCGCTGAGCCAAACCGGCCAGGGATAAACTGTGAGATTTCTTAAACTCTGTGCTCCTGTGGGTATTAGTTTGTTGTCCTGTCTGTTGTCTCAGAGTCATTAGCAGTTGAATCTTTCAAACAAAACAGGCCTGTATGCTTGTGACTAGTAAGGGGGGACTGTTAGACTGGTCCCATGCCATAGCCAGGTTGGAAGGTAGGGAACCCAGTGAGTAGGTTAACAGGGGGAGGCAGCTTTCCAGAATAAAGGGTAGAAGGCTTTGAGCTGGAAGTGGGGTGGTGGGGAAGGAGCACAGACCTGAGGGCTTTAGTGTCCTGGCAGAAAGGACAAGTTCTTAATCAGAAATGTGTCTAGTTTGGAGTGAGCTAAGTTCCAGGGACTCACTGGGCCTGCAAGAGCCTCTGAAGGGATCTCCACTTTAGTGGAGGGTTGAAGCCTGCAGTGGGCAGGCTTGCTGGGGGTGAAGGGCAGGGCCTGAGTGCCCTGGAAGCAGCAGTGATTAAGTTGAGCCGAGGGGCTGAAGGCACTCTTGGAACTCAGAAAGAGAAGGATTTTCAGTCCCAAATACCATGCAGAGGTTCAAAAGGATGTGGTACCTAAGAAGCCACCTGTGACCTTTCTAGGACAGCAGAGTGTCAGGGTCCACTGCCAAACTATAAGAGAAGGCTTAAGTGGCAGAGACTGAAAGAGCAGAGCCCTCTCAGAAAAGGAGATGGTTTCGCACCTGAGTGTGAACAGAGTGGGGCTCAGCAGGCAGAGTGACAGACAAGGAAGGATGTTTTAAAGGGAGGGGAAAGGCCCTGGCCCATTTTGCTCAGTGGTTAGAGCGTCGGCCTGTGGACCAATGAGTCTCAGGTTTTTTTTTTGGTTTTTTTTTTTTTTTTTATACTCACCCGAGGATATTTTTCCATTTTTTGTACAGATAGAGTGGAAGGGAGAGAGAGGAAGGGAGAGAGAGAGAAACATCGATGTGAAGGGACACATCGAGCGGCTGCCACCCGCACGACCAACCAGGGCCGGGGACAAACTGCAACCGAAGTACGTGCCCTTAGCGGGAACCGAACCCGGGTCTCTCCAGACCGCAGGGCGACGCTCTAACCGCTGAGCCAAACTGGCCAGGGCGAGTCTCAGGTTTGATTCTGGTCAAGGGCACGTACCTCAGTTGTGGTTCGTCCCCGGCCCTGGTTGGGGTCGTGTGGGAGGCAACCAGTCAATGTGTCTCTCTCACATCGATGTTTCTCTCTCTCACCCTCTATCCCTCTCTCTCCTTCCCACTCTATCTGAACAAAAAAATGGAAAAATATCCTCAGGTGAGGATTAAAAAATAAGTAAATAAAGGGAGGGGAAGGGATGTGGATGTAATAACCACCGGCATTTCATCACCTTCTAGCCCTATATAACCATCACCAGCACACTGTGACAACCACTGACTCCTGTTGCCACACCCTGGGATCTTGTCACCCCCAGAAATCTCCCTCTAGTCTCTTCAATGCCAACACTTTCTGCCCACAGTTTTCCATTCTTCTGGCACCTGCCTTGTTCCTGTCACCATGTTCAGCTATGCAGCCTCTTTGGTCTCCTGGCCTCTGAGTACCCTCCTGGCTCAGTCCCTAAGCTTCAGGTCTAACTCCAAAGATCATCACTTCAACTGCTTTTCTGCAAACACCTGTAATTTCTTTTTTTTTGTAATTTTTTTTTTTGTATGTGCCCTTAGCGGGAACCAAACCCAGGACTCTCTGGTCCACAGGCTAACGCTCCAACTGCTGAGCCAAACTGGCCAGGGCCAAACACCTGTAATTTCTTTGCCCATTCTTGTTTCACCCAGCTCTGTAAATCTCTAGCCCTAGAGCTCTGTCACATACTAATTCCCAAACCTCCAGCTTCAGTCCTAGTTTCTGTCCTTGGCTTCTAGACTTAGGTTGTCAGTTGCCTACTGACTGTCTCTGAGTGGAGAGTAATGGGAGAGAGGGACAGGGGTGCTAAGGAAGAAGGATGGAGAGGGATGGGAGGCTGAGGATGAGTGACAGGTCAGACCCAGTAGGCCAGCATATTTGGATTCCAGAGCTGGGAAATTCTCAGTTTATAGAGCTGCTGGGAAGTTCAGCTGAGGGGAGGAGTGTGGGCTGGGGCTCCTACCATCAGATGGATGGGACTGGTGCCTACTTTTCCCTTTCATTTTAATGGTCCTGTGTCCTCACCTTGTGGGTACAAGTGTATTACTATCTATGCCCTTCTCCCCATGACTCCCCAGACCCCAGCAAACAGAGTTTCTCCTCTTTGGTGCAGCCTCACCCTTCCCTTACCGCTCTCCTTGAATTCAGGCATCTTATAGTTACCCTGTTGTTGAGAAGGGCCGGTTGCCGCCTCACCAAGCCCGCTGGTGAACCCGCTGATGTTCAGGGCACCTGCTTGTGTCTTGATTGCCGACTTGAGCTCGTGATTCTCCCGAATGAGCCGCACCAGCTTCTTCAGTTCCTCATTTTCCCGTACCAACCTCTCGATTTGATGCCGAAGCCCCTCATAATTGGTGAGTAGAGACATGCCCCAGGGCAGCGGGAAGGGTGCGGCCCACCTGAGGGCACTGCACCTGGAGGCTGCCCAGGGCCCCGGGCCTTGCCCGGGCTGGAGGAGGGCACCAAAGTTTGCAAGTTGCAAGGCTGGCCCAGTGGGTATTGTGAGGTCAGAGACTGTGCCCTCCTCTTGGCCCTTTCTGCTTTAACAGGCTCAGATGTCCATGCCTCCAGGCCTGTGCACAGGTCCTGCCTCAGCCTGGAATGTACTGATCTCTTCTCTCTCTGGACAACTTTACTCTGTGAAGCTTCCTCTCACCCATGACAAGCTAATCGCTGTCCTCTAGGCTTTCCTGGCAGATGTGTTCTCTGTCATAGCACTTACCTGGCTCTGTCTGGTTAGCTCTTTAAAGCTGTTTTACTCTCTGTATGTTGAGGGCAAGGATTGTGGGATTCCTCAGAATTCAGCAAGGGGCCTGGTGCAGCGTAGGTAGGTAATCAGTGAATATCTGTTGAATGAAATTCCTCCTTCCTGACAGGTGCCCTTTCCTTCCAATCTTGGGCTCACCTAAGTGTAACTTGTCAGCCTCCCCTCAGGATATTCTATCTTTGACATCTGGATACTGGGCCATCCTTTCTTCTGACCCCAGTGTTCAGAGTCTTTCTCTGACTGCCAGCCCAGGGGCTCCCTTGTCCAACACCTGGCTCCCTATAACTTGCAGTTTCCATTTCTGGTGACTTGAGTTCTCCTCTTCCAAATTCCCTGGCAGCACCCTCTCTGTGCCCACACCTCTATTCTCTGGCTCCTTGGTTTCTCCTGACTGTAGTCCCTTCAAGAACACAACTTCGTTTCTCATCAGATTCCAAGAGTTCAGATCTCTGAGTCCTGATCTCACTTCCTTGTCTAAGTGCTGCCTACAAAGAGGACTTTGTGGGCCTGACCTTGGTAGTTCAGTGAGGCCGTGTCTTCACGACCTCCACTGGCTCTGTGGGCATCTGCTCTCAAACAGAAGAGGATGGTGAAGTTGGTGTAAGCCAGAGGGCACACTCCTGGTAGGAGGGTGGGGGCAAGGATGAGGTTGAAGATCAGCCAAGGCTGGGGTCAGTCTGAGTTGAGCATTCTACCTGGACCTCACAATGGGGGTGGGGGGGCTTGCCCCCACCCTCCTCCCATGCCTGGGACTATAATCCTGGCTGAGTCACTCTGGCCCTGGGAACCAGTGCCTAGATCTCTTCATGGAGCAGGTCTCTGTTCCCTCTCTCTCTTTTTAAAAAAAATATGTTTATATTGATTTTTTTAGAGAGAGAGATAGAAATATTGATGTGAGAGAAACATCAATTGGCTGCCTCCTGCACACCCCCTACTGGGGATTGAGCCGGAGACCCAGGCATGTGCTCTGACCAGGAATTGAACCTGGACCTCTCAGTCCATGGGACAGCGGTCAATCAACTGAGCCACTCAGGCCAGGCCACACCCTCTCTCTTTATAGAACATCTCTGCTGGGCTTTCCTCCAGCTGGTGAAAATCCCTTTTTTTTAAATCCTCATCCGAGGATGCTTTTCCATTTCTCTTCAGATAGAGTGGAAGGGAGAGAGAGAGAGAGTAGGAGAGAGAGTGGGAGAGAGAGGGAGAGAGAGAGAGACAGAGACAGAGAGAGAGAGAGAGAGAGAGAGAGAGAAACATCGATGTCAGAGACAGGGCCAGGGACCAAACTGAAACTGAGGTATGTACCCTTGACCGGAATTGAACCCGAGACTCTTTTATCCACAGGCCAACACTCCAACCCCTGAGCCAAACTGGCCAGGGAGGCTTCCCATTTTATTTAGCCTGCTCAGTTTTCTTCTCCCATCCAGTCTTGCCCTGCTGTTGGTCTCTCCTTGGGTTGATGCTGTCTTTACCATCTGTGATGATTCGATTTTATGTGTCAGTTTGGCTAGGCTGTGGTGCCCAGGTGTTTGTGTGAGGTATTTTGTAGATGTTATTAACATTGACAATCATTTGACTTTATTTTATTTATTTATTTTTAATTATTTTTATTAATTTGTTTTTGTTACAGATGTTTCTCCTTTTCCCCCCATTGACACCCTCCTCCCCATCCCCATCCCCAGCTTTGTTGTCTGTCCACTAGTTATGCATACATGCATATAAGTTCTGTGGTTTATCTCTTCCCCCCCAACACCCCCTCTTCTGAGGTTTGTCAGTTTGTACCCTACCTCTGTCTCTGGGTCAGTTTTGTTCATCAGTTTGTTTAGTTCATTATATTCCACAAATAAGTGAGATCATGTGATATTTGTCTTTCTCTGCTTGGCTTGTTTCGCTTAGCATAATACTCTCCAGGTCCCTCCATGTTGTCTCAAAGGATAAGAGATCTTTCTTTCTTACAGCTGCATAGTAATTTTTTAAATTGATTTTCAGATAGAGAGGAAGGGAGAGAGAGAGACAGAAACATCCATGAGAGAGAACATCGATTGGCCACCTCCTGCATGCCCCCCACTGGGGATTGAGCCCACAACCTGGGCATGTGCCCTGACCGGGAATTAAACCAGCGACCTCTTGGTGCATGGGTCTGTGCTCTACCACTGAGCCACATCAGCCAAGCAACAATCATTTGGCCTTAAAGGAGATGACTCTCAATCAGTGGGTGGGCTTCATCCAATCACTTGAAGGCCTTAAATGCAGAACACAGATTTTCCAGGGAAGAAGGAATTTTTTCTCATCATTGTCCTAGAAATTCCGTCTGAGTTTCCAGCCTGCTGGCCTGCTATACAGATTTCAGACTTGCCAGCCCCTCAATTGTACGAACCCTTTCCTTAAAAATGATCCTTTAATAGATAAGAACTCTGGCCCGGCTGGAGTTTCCACCAATATTTCTATCTCTCTCTCCCTCTCCCTTCCTCTCTCTAAAAATCAATAAATAAAAAAATAGAAAAGATAAGAACTTTAACTGATACATCATCTCTATTTCCCTTTGTACCATGCTTCTTTCCTCCAAAAAAATATTTTGAGTACAAACTGTGTGTCTGGCATTGTGTTAGGAGTTGGGGGTTCAGCACTTGTTATAATCTGGCATGATCCCTGCCTTACAGCTATGAATCAAGTAATCACATGCAAATGTCAGATGGCCAAAGTGATGAGTGCTGCTCCTGTTGTTGATAGAGGACATCATGGGTGGGTCAGACCCAGTCAGCTCCAGGTAGCCTTCCCTGAGGAAGTGCCGAATGAGATGCTATGGAGGGCTCTCCTGTGTTGGAATAGCTTCCCAGCAGAGGGCACTGCCCTATGGCCTCACTGAAGGAACTGAAAGGGGCTGGCATGGGATGGGGCAGAGGAGGGGACAGGACATATGTGCTGAGGAAGGACACAGGACCCATGCTGTGATAAAGTCTTATGGTCACAGGGCTGACATTGATCTTCATCCTAAGGACCTTGGGAAGCCCTCAAAAAGCTTAATGGAGGAGGTATGGGAATAAATTGAAGGGAAAAGAGCCACTGCAGCCTTGGCCGGTTTTGCTCAGTGGTTAGAGTGTCAGCCTGCAGACCAAAGAGTCCTGAGTTCATTTCCCACTAAGGGCATGTACCCCAGTTGCAGTTTGTCCCCAGCCCCGATTGGGGTCATGTGGATGGCAACCACTCTGATGTGTCTCTCTCGCATTGATGTTTCTTTCTCTCCCTCCCTCTCTCCCTCCCACTCTATCTGAAGATAAAATGCAAAAATGTCCTCAGGTGAGGATTAAAAAAAAAAACCAGTGCAGTCATCTGACCAAGCTACGAGGGCAGCTCTAATGCTCTGATGCTGGTGGTGGAGAGAAGTGGACAGAGTTGACAAAAGTTTAGTGGGTACCAGTGGACTGGTCTTGGGCATGGGTTAGAATAAGGATGGCCTTGTAGTTTCTGCTATGGGTGTTGGAGCTGCCTGGTCATCAGTCACCCTGTGTCTACCTCCAGCCTCTCTATAGACCTGCAACACTCAGTAGAGACCCCCAGGGTTTCCCAGGACTCTGAGCTGCAGCACCTGGGCCTTTCTTTGTATTTACTTTCTCCAGGCTCATTTGCTCTCTCTACTCGTATTTCCTCTTCATTGCAATTTTACCTTTTTTTTTTTGGTCATTATATTCATGTATACACGTGTTCTTTGGTATCCAAATTTATCAGGTTTGAGTTTGGGATAGAGTAGCAGTTTAGAGAGCAAAAGATTCATCCAAAAATTTATCAATGTTAATTTGGATCACATGTTTGGAGGTGAGGACATGGGGAGTGAGGGCTACTGGGCCATGCTTCACCATCCTCTGTCTAGATCTTCTGTCTGAGGTCTGGGACAGTGTCACTTTGGAATGGCCCTCAGTTCCTGACTGCCAGAAGGTCACACCTGCAGGAGTGACAGGAACCTCCTGGCATCCACTCAGGATTTGTGCTCCTCATAGACTCCTTAGGAATTTGCTGCAAGCAAATCTTCAGTGTTTTCCTACTTGTTTATGCTGAGTCAGATCATCCCTCTGGTTGTGGGTCACTGACTTTGCACAATTCCTCTGCATTCAGATTAGCCTCATTATGTTCAGCTCAGTGTGCCCGCTTGGTGAGTGAGGACTTTGGGGATCTTTGCTTCCATCTTGGCTTGGGATTCTTTGTGGTTTAACAAGCTTCTTTGTAAAACCATCTTCTCAAGGCATAAAGTTGCTGAAGAACAGGGACCTTTATCCTGAAGCTCTCTGTCCATACCCACTTCTACCTTTCATCCAGGCAGATAGTATGAAAACCCATCCTACAGGTGAGGGCACTGAGACATAGTCAAGTTCCTGGGCTCTCCCCCAGATACCCCCGATCAGTCCATTCTTCCTATATTTTCCTAGCTGTCAAGGATGGGGCTTGCTGCAGGTAGCCTAGTCTCTGGCCTGCTCTTTCTACCTCCAGCTTCACCTCTTCTGCTAGAGCCTTTCTCTGCACACCCACTGGGGTCGGAAAGACCCCTTGCCCCCATTGGATCTAGGCTGTGGTCAGAAGACTGTGGTGATGTTCCAGGAGGCCAGAGCCTGGTATAGCCTCTGGCACATAGTAGGTGCTCAATGAATATATGAATGCATATTTATTCAACGTTTTTTCTTTTTCCCACCATGAAACTGGAGATGTGTTGGCTAGCAGTAGAAACAGGCCAGGTGCTAATTGGTCTTCTGAATGTTTGCAATGAGTCCGTGGATTTCTGAATGAGCCAGTTGTCCCCTCAGTGAGTCTGGAGGACTGTGGGAAGGTAGATGGCTTCAGGGAGAGCAAGGACATCTGTTGGTCTACCTGGGGTCCTGCTGGCTAGATCTGTAAAGAGGGGCCTCAGAGGAAAGATTCTCTAGGTCTTGGCCAGAGACAGAGTCTCTGGAACTGTAACCTTGGTCATCAATACCATGGGTCATTCAATTACCCATCATGAAAAGCTCAGGAACTACAGGCCAGGGCAGAGACCAGGAGGGCTCTTTCATGTTCTGGAGGCTTGGCAATTTCTGCATGTTGTCAATTCCTCTCTGTTTTTTGCGAAGTGTTACTTGGAGTGTAGCAAAGAAGGGGAGAGCTGGGAAAATGGCATGCTGGGAGAGCCATGAAGAACAGAGTGGTCAGCCCTGGCCAATTTGGCTCAGCGGTTGGAGTGTCAGCCTGCAGACTAGAGAGTCCAGGGTTTGGTTCCCACTAGGGGCAGCGTATGGAAAAAAAAAGAACAGAGTGGTCAGCCTCAAGGGAGGGGAGCGGGATGGGCACATGGGCTGCTAGAGACATGTGGTTGGGGTTCCTGACCCTCAGACTCCAAGGCCCCAGCTCAGACCTATGTTGCCCCCAACCATGACCCTCAGTTGATTCCTACTCCTTCTCCAGACCTCAGCTCCTGAGCTGCCCCTCAGGGCCTCCTTCAGCAGCATCAGAGTAGTTGCACTGCCTGCTCTGGCTTTGTTGTGTGGCCCAGGGCAGGCCACTGTTTCTTTACCTGTCGAATGGGGTAGCAATGCTCCTTCCTCCACTTCGAAGGCTGAGAGAGCTAGTGCATGCAGAGCAACAAGGGCAGTGTCTAGCACAGAGAAAGAGCTAAATGCATTTTCTGGTCAGTCCATAGATTTTGAAAGCCTGTCAGGCATGACTACAGGTTCTGGAGGACAGCAGGGGAAAAGCAGGGAACCTCTGCTCTCTCTGGTTCCATTTACATGGCCAGGAGCTGCCCAGTGCAGGTCAGGCTCCCAGCCCTGTTCCCTCCCAGAGGCATTCACAAAGTCTCAGGGGGAAACAAGGGCATAGAAACTGAGTGGTGCTTTGGCCCAGCTGGTGTGGCTCAGTGGACTGAGCATCACTCCATGGACTGAGAGATTGGGGCGGGGGGGCGGGGAGGGGAGGGACTGGAATCGGACAAGCCTGAGCGAAGGTTCCCACTCAGTCAGTTACAACCAGGTGATCCCCTGCACACCTCAGTTTCCTCCTCTTCAGCATGGGGTGGTGAAGCTGTCTCATGGCGACTGTAAAGACTGCATTTAGTTATTTGCTCCAAAGCAGGCATTGAGCACCATCTCCTACCCCTGCAGGGAACACAGCAAAGGCCTTGCAGCTGACATTCTGGTGGGAGGACTGTAGTGGTAATTCATGCCATGAGGAGGAATAGAGCAGGAGGAGGGCAGAGCAAGAAAGGGTAATGCTCTTTAGTATAGAGCGTCAGAGGGCCATCCTGACAAGGTGATGCTTGGAGGAAACTTGAAAAAAGGGAGAGAATAAGGAATGAGGGTATTTGTGGGCAAAGGCTTCTAAACAGGAGGGGCAGACATTGCAAAGGCCCTGGGGCACATGAGCAGGCTTGGTGCATTTTTTTAAGACCATTAAGGATACCAGTGAAATGGTGGGGAATGAGTCATAGACAGAGAGGGGGCAACTGAGTCAGAAAGGTGGGATGGAATTTGTAGGCTAAGGGCTTTGGATTTTACACTCAGTGAGATGGAAAGGTTTGAGGGTTTGGAGTAGAGGAAGAAGCTACTTTTATCTGAAGATCTGTCCTGGTTGTTAAAAACCAGTTCATATGATTGTATGATCTGTGAGATCCTGGCCGCAGGATAGTCTCTGTTATGTCCCTTGACTCCACTACCAGCACTCTGGAGCCTTGTGGTGTGAATCCTGTGGAGCAAGTGCATGGACCCTGCCTGACCCTGCCACTTCTCTTGCTCCCTCTACGTCCAGGTTAAGTACCACCCTCCCTGCTTGCCCCTTTCATCTCTTGTACCTCCACTCCCCTTTGTGGATGCTGGCCTGTTCCTCATATATCTCCTGTGAGCAGTGCTGTGGCCACCCACCCCCAGTCCATGACTTCCCCCTGCTCTGGGACACCTGGGCCTGCCCTGCTACCTCTGTGCCAGACCTTTGTGGGCCCTGCAACTGAGGACAGACGGGTTCTAGGAAGACTTCATCATAACTAATTCCTTCTGCAATGACCCAATATCCAAATAAGGTCATATTATGAGGTTCTGGGGGTTAGGAACTCAACATATAAATTTGGGGAACACAATTAAAATGATAACACTGAGATCATAAGATAAACTGGGGGATTTTTGAGGTCAGGGTGACATTTTTGTGTCAGTTTGGTAGATTGTGGGTTGATGTCATTGGATTTGGAAATGCTTCAGCATTGTCTTTAGACTTTGCTTCTCTATTATTTTCTCTTCTTCTGTGGGCTCCACTGCGTTCCTTTTTTTTATCCTTATGTTCTTACTGATTTTTTTTTTTTTATCCTCACCCGAGGACATTTTTCCATTTTTTGTTCAGGTAGAGTGGGAGGGAGAGAGAGGAACAGAGAGAGAGAGAGAAACATCGATGTGAAAGGAACACATCGAGTGGCTGCCACCCGCACAACCGACCAGGGCCGGGGACAAACTGCAACCAAGGTACGCGCCCTTAGCGGGAACCGAACCCGGGTCTCTCAGGACCGCAGGCCGACGCTCTAACCGCTGAGCCAAACCGGCCAGGGCATGTTCTTATTGATTTTTAAAGAGGAAGGGAGAGAAACATCCATCGGTTGCCTCCTGCCTGTGCCCCAACTGGGGATTAAACCCACAACCTAGGTACATGCCCTGACTGGGAATCAAACCTGCAACCTTCTAGTTGGGATGACACTCTAACCAACTGAGCCATTCAGGGCTCCACTGTGTGCATTTTTTACCTTTCCCTCACTCTCTTATATTTTTTTCTTCATCTATTTTTTATTCTTTGTGAGTTAGAGTATTTTTTGTTGTCCTTTCAGTTTACTAATCCTTTTCTCTGACTTGTCTCATCTACTCATAAGACCATCTGTTGAATTTTTAGTTTCAGTAAGTTGTATTTTTTCATTCAGAATGCTCAGTTTGATTTCTTCTATGGAATCCAATTCTCTGGGGAAATTCTCCATTTCCCCCTGTACTTTCCTTAACATATTAAGCATGTTTACTTTATTTTTTTATTCCTGACCCAAGGATATTTTTCTACTTGTCATCAGATAGAGTGGGAGGGAGGGAGAGACAGACAGAAAACCATCCTTGTGATAGAGCCACATCGACTGGTTGCCTCTCGCAGGACCCAACCAGAGCCGGGACGCACCACAACCAAAGTAAGTGCCCTTGACCAGAATCGAATCCGCAGCTCATTGGTCCATGGGTCATTGCTCTAACTGCTGAGCCAAACAAGCCAGGGCTAGCACGTTTACTTTAAAGTCCTTTAAAACAAAATAAAAAATAGAGTTTTCCCTATCCTCTGTTGGACAGATATCATGAGGCTGATTACCTTCAACCATCAGGGGCCTAGCTGATCAGGTCTGGGTGTTGGTGTTGGTGAGGCTCTGTCCTTCAGGCTGCTGGTGGAACTTCCACTGCTGGGTCTTGAATGCCAGGTCTTGATTCCTCAGTGCAATCTCCATACCCCACAGCTGCAACTCTTCCCTTACAGCTGAAGGGGGGAGGGGGGATCTCTCATCACATTTATTTCTTGCATGTCTGCTTGGCTATGTATATTTAAAAGTGTAAAAATATTTTATCTAGCAATTTTATGTGTTGAGAGTAAGAGTCAGGGTCCCAGGTCAGTTTAGCCCATCTTGACAGAAGTCCTCTGAAGGAGATGAAGCACGGGAGTGGCATCACCTCTTTATCTGCAATGCCCAGGATGGGTTGGGATCCACTGCAGAGATGATAGTGGCCTTGCCTTGGGAGAAGGGCACAGGCGTGAGAAGCATTTAGAAAGTAGAATCTGAAATGCCCAGGGTCATGATAGCAATTAGGGTAAAAGGAGGATTTTGAACCTAGTACTAGAGTCCTCCGAGAACCAGGAACCTGATAGGTAACAGGGAAAACCAGTCTGGAGCAGAATGGAGAGCAGAAGGCCTGGCTTTAAGGGAGGAAGCTGTTGCAAAAGAGCCTAAAGGTTTAGAAGTTGCGGTGGCAAAGAAGGTGATATGGATAATGTAATGAAATGAGGGCCCAGGGGGAAAAGAGTCACTCTTCAGTAGTGAGAGTGGGAGCTGAGAAGTTGGAGGGTGTGTGGGGGGTGGGGGGTGTTGCATTTGGGGCATTCTGAAAAGTCTGAAATGCCCGACAAGCCTGAGATAAAAAGAAGACATTCAGGAAACACAATGCTGTTGGTAGCAGAACAGCCAAGCCATCCTGCTGCCTAGGACCCAATGGGGAAGGGGCTTGCCCTGAGTGCTACCCCAGCCTAGGTCTCCCTGCACAATCACTGTGTGCAAGACTTTCTGCTTTTCCTCAAAGCAGGCTCTTCCCTGGAAGATTCCAGTGATTCATCACTGCCTGCAAAACAGAGTTCAGACTCCTGACCTTTCCACACATGGCTGTCCACACCTGACCCAACAACCCACACTCTCCCCTGAATCCTCTTTCTTCCACCTGGTTCCCCTAAATGTGCCACCGTAATTCTCCTGGGCTTTTTGTTTTGCTGCCACATTCCTGAAACGCCTCCCACCTATGCTGATGTTGAGCCAAAGTCCACAAGTCTGCAGCATTCTCTGTCCCTGTTCCTGGGAGAGTTAGTGCTTGTTCAGCTCATGCCACTCACTCCATGGTTGACACCTATGGTGTGCCTGGCCCTGGGCTAGGTGCTGGCCTGCGTGCTAAAATGCACAGGTCAGCCTTGGCTGGTGTGGCTCAGTTGGTTGGAGCATTGTCCCCTACACCGAAAGGTTTCAGGTTCAGTCCCTGGTCAGGGCATGTGCAGGAGGCAACCGGTTGGTTTCTCTCTCACATTGACGTTTCTCTTTCTCTCTTCCTCTCCCTTCTTCCCTCTCTAAAATACGTTTTTTTTTATCCTCACCCGAGGACATTTTTCCATATTTTCTTCAGATGGAGTGAGAGGGAGAGAGAGAGAGACATCGATGTGAAAGGGACGCATCGAGTGGTCGCCACCCGCACAACCCAACCAGGGCCGGGAACAAACTGCAACTGAGGTACATGCCCTTAGCGGGAACTGAACCCAGGTCTCTGAACCGCAGGCCGATGCTCTGCTGAGCCAAACCGGCCAGGGCACTTTTTTCTTTTTTTAAAAAATATATTTTTATTGAATTTTTAGAGAGAGAGGAAGAGAAACATCGATTTGAGAGAGAAACATCAATCAGCTGCCTCCTGCACGCCCCCTACTGGGGATTGAGTCCAAAAGCCGGGCATGTGCCATGACCAGGAATTGAACTGGGACCTCTCAGTCCCTGGGATGATGCTCAATCCACTGAGCCATACTGACCAGGCTAAAATAAAAATTTTAAAAGAGCATATCCTCGCCCTGGCCTGTTTGGCTCAGCAGTAGAGCTTTGGCCCATGGACCAAAGAGTTGTGGGTTTGATTCCGGTCAAGGGCACGTACCTCAGTTACAGTTTATCCCCAGCCCTGGTTGGGGTCATGCAGGAGGCAGCCAGTCCATGTGTCCCTCTCACGTCGAAGTTTCTCTCTCCCTTTCTCTCTCACTCTCCCTCCCACTCGATCTGAAGATAAATAGAAAAATATTCTCAGGTGAGGATTTTAAAAAAAAGCATATCCTCAGTTGAGGATTAAAACACACAGTTTACAGTCCCTGTTCTGAAGGCACTTCCAGTTCGGATTCAGTGGTAGCCCTGGGCAGGTGCCACAGGACACCTGTGCTGGGTGTTACAAGAGCCAGGGTCCTGGGCTGCCTCTTACTGTGGTACTGATGACAGTGCTGCTTTGCAGGGTAGGGAGTGTGATGGGGACATAGATCATTTCTGTTGTTACTGAAAACGAGAATGAATTTAATGATTATGTCTGTAAATAAACATTTTTGATTGAAGAATAAATTAGCCTTCTTTGGCCTTGGGAATAGCTAGCTGTTTCAGTGCCCTCCAACAGAAGCCCCCTCCCACTGCCTCCCCCCCCCCCCCCCCCGTGCTGCCTGTGGTTGAACAGGTTTGGGCTACTACAGATCAGAAGCTGCCCCCTTTCCCTCCCTGGGTGGGTCACAGCAGACAGCAAACCACAGCCCACTGACAAAACACCCTGCCAGCCTTGCCCTGGACCCAGCCTGATCCCAGCCACAGGGAACTGTGGGGAGTCAGGAAGGGGGTGCTAGAAAGGCCTTAGTAGGATTTGGCTTGTTTGGGTGAACTGGGGAGGACTTAAGGAAGCAGGGCTTTGCCCTAGACTGGATGCTGTCAGGAAGGGAAATCATTCTCTGACTGAAAACCTCAACATTATCTTTGGAAGGAGGATAGACCAGAGGCAGGCTGAAGCTGTCTACTGAAAAGAGGCTGCAACACTCAGATTAGGTAGGGCAGGGCACTTTTGGTCTCATTGGCTTGGACAGGGCTCATGTTTTTTGCATTCAGACATGATTACAGAGTGGTCTTCTTGTCTCGATGAGTCACAGAGAAGCTTTGTCTGACACTGCTGTTGTGTGAAATTGTTTAGATTCTGAACAGGAGAATACCAAGGCCTATATCTGAGAGTGCCAAGCCAGCTCCTGGTGACACCAGGGCCTAGCTGATAGGACCAAGCTAGCTCCCAGATGTTGGAGGCTGCTTCCTTCTTCACTTGAAGAATCTATATGATTGACCTGACAGCCATTGCTGTGGCTCCATTCAGCTTTGTGAATCAGTGTGAGCATCTTCTGCACACTCCCCCACCCACTCAGATCAGAAGCTGCCCCTTTCCCCTCCCTGGGTGGGTCACAGCAGACAGCAGACCATAGCCCAGCAACACCCTGCCAGCCTTGCCCCGGACCCAGCCTGATCCCTTTTAGGCACTGCATGCTGCCTCCTGATGCCCCATCCCTCCCTCCAGTACCTCTCCTAGCTCTTCTTTGGCATACTTCAGCAGCTTCTTCCTCTCTGCTTTCTTCACCTGCTCATAACCCCTCACCATTGCCTGGATGCTGTTACTGGACTCGTTTGCCTAAATACAAACCAAATTGTGGCTCCTGCCAGAGTTCCCTTCACCCACAGGACAGGTCCAAGCCCTTACCTGTGTGTGGTTCTGGCCTTCCCTCCTGCAGTAGGGGTCTCCTAGTCCTTGCCCTGCCCCTGACCTAGCTGTCCCCAGGGAATCTCCCTCATGGGTTAGATAAGCCCAGGAGTGTGTCCTCCTTGAACTTGAGAAAACACTGTCCTTGCACAGTTGGCTCATACCTGAGCTCCTCCTTCCTCCTTCTGCCTTGACTGCTGTTCTCTTTAGCTATGTGAATGCTGTTTCCTCCTCAGTGTGAAATCCTGCTGGGTCTGTGAGCTAACACTGAGCAGAGTCCTGTGTACTTATAACTCTGGTGGGCAGGACACCTCAATGAGGAACTGCTCTTGCTCAAGGAGACAGCTGCAAGAAGTGGGGGGAGGCTGTGTTGCCTGTGCGCAGCATGTGAACAAAGCAGAGAAATTAAGGGTAGCTGGACAACTGCTGTAAACCACGAGGTAGATGCCAGGAAGGGCCCAGGTGGCTGAGAAGGCAGTGTGCATTCCAGACAGGGGAAGTGTGGCCTGTAGTGGCTCAGGCTGTTACAAGGTCAGGCCTGGGGGTTGAGGGTGAGGGGAGAGCAGGAGGCCAGCTGGAGCAGCCAGGGGGCATATGGCAGGAACTGTATTCCAGGCAAGGAATCTGGACTTCATCCCACCTGCAACCATCAGAGGGTTTTAAGTAGGCAGGTGGTGTGATCAGTGTTTTGGAAATACACTTGGTGGCCAGGCAGAGGGTCGGTGGAGCTGAACTGACAGGTGAGCAGCAGCAGGCCTTGGGATGCAGACAAGGAGACAGGAGTTGAAGCAGGATGAACAAGGGGAGAGAGAACAGCCCTGTCCTGGCCTGGGTGCCTGGGCTGCATACTATTGAAGGAGATAACGCAGGAGCAACAGGTTAGAGGAGGATGGACTGGGCTTTGGGCCTCAGCTGAGGTGCCTGTAAACATTGAGGTGGGGGTGCTGGCTCAGTGTGTTGGGGTGCTTGGTGCCAGTTAAAGAAGGAGTTTGATGGGTTCCCAGGGAGAAGGTGGAGGAGCCCCAGGAGGGTTCTCAAGCCATGCTGGATGGAGGGTCCTGCCAAAGAAGGCCACAGTAAGGAGTGTCCAATGAGGTTAGGAGCTCAGGAAGGCTCAGGGCAGGGAAGTCCTTAGAGCTGGGCCCAGGGCAGCGGAGGGACCCTCTTTGGGGGAGCCAGAGTGAAGGATATGGACTAACTGACATCTGAACATATATCCTAGTGTCAGGGTGTGAGTTCCAGAATTGTAGCAGCCAAGAGCCACAGGGGAGGACATATAGAATGAGCTGGAGCTGAGGGTCCTTGAATGGAAGGGGCCTGAAGAGGCCAACGGAAGGTGCCAGAGGCAGGCGGAGAGGCCAACTGGCCAAGTCCAGTCTTTGTCCAGCTCCCCGCCAGGGGCTCTAGTCTGCATTTCTCTTGGGGAGGGTGGAGAGGTGTGGAGGGCCTTTGTCGAAGCCAGGGCTGGGCTCCCTGGGGGCCCTGCAGAGACAGCGTCTGAGCATGACAGGCCTGCCCAGGGTAGGTCAGTGACCTAGGCCACTGCCCCTCGAGCAAGATGGTAAGGGTCTCACATCATGCTGTACAGTTGCCAGGAGTGGCAGACACAGCCAGGCCACTTACCATCATGTCACCCAGGCACCTTGCTTAACCTCCAGGAGCCTTGGGGTCCCTGTCCATCAGCTGGGAATCCTGGCTCATACCTTAGGACATGGCTGGGAAGATTGCAAGAAAGGAGGCAGAAGCATGGATAGAGAAGGATTAGCTATTTCCATTAACCCTTGCTGCATGCTAACCCCACCATCAATGCCTGGTCCTGCCCCCTTTCATCACCCTGGGGAGGCCCAGAGTCCCTCCCCACCTCATGAAGAAGTGGCACTGAGAAGAGTAACAAGAAGAGCACAGAGAGCAGAGGGTCCCATTTATTGGAATTTTAAAGACAGCAGAATGAGAGGAAGGCATCCTTCTCCCCCAAAATATTCCATCCTCTCTGCCCTCAGAGCTTAGCACAGGGACGAGACCCTCACCCCTCAGGTTCCCCAGAGGGCAGCACTCCTGGATGGGGGTGGGGAGGAGGAGAGGATACTTTATGCCAGGCGGGGAGCTGGAACAGGAGAGGAGACGTGCACCCTCACCTCTTGGCTCAATCCTTCTCCCCTGGGACCTGGTGTTATCCCCTAGGGCGGGCTGGCAGAAAGGGCTCATGCAACAGTGAGTAGGCAGGAGGTGGCAAAGAAACCCAACTCCGTTGCCCTTTGGTGGGGCAGGAGGGCTAGAAGGGGCCATGCTGGCCACAGCGGGTCCAAACAGAATTATCTGGAGCGTACACACAGGAAAGTTAGAGAGGGGCTTCTTCGGTCTCAGGCTGTGTCCAGGGAGAGAGAGGGGAGGTCCAGATGGCATTGCTACGCCAGCCACGCCACCTGCGTGGGGCCCCGCACGTGCCAGGGCTCAGGCTACTCCTTGGCGCGGCCGATGATGGTGAGGATATACAGGAAGATGTTGATGATGTCTGTGTACAGGTTAAGTGCCGCGAACACGTACTCCTCCGGGCTCAGCGACAGCTGCTTGTTCCCCAGCAGCAACTGGGTATCCACTGCCAGGAACTGGGGTGACAGCATGCAGTGCTGAGGTACCTGCCCACCCCACCCTGTGCCTGCCCCGGGTGGCCCCTCACTCACGCAGGTGAAGAGCAGCGCGCCAAGTGAGGCATACACGATCTCCAGGATGCGGTTGCGGATGAAAATGCAGAGAACAGCGAAGACGATCAGCACCACCATGCTCACCAGGAGCACGCCCATGCATGATGTGAAGTCATAGCGGGTCTGTAGGTACAGGGGACAGCAGGTCCTGGGTGCCCACCCTGCAAGGGTCCGGGCCAGCAGCCCCACCTGGGAGCCCTCACATGCATGGAGAAGGAGACCACCAGGACCCCTCACCTGCATGGAGAAGATGACCACTGTGAAGCAGACAGTTGTGGTGATGCCTACAGCCATGATAACTGCCTCAGTGTTGTAGAAGCTGGCGATCATGCCCACCATGTAGGACAGGCTGACAGTCAGGATTGACTGTGGGGAAACGAGACCTTAGGTACGGGGGCTGCTCCAGTCACAAACTCCCAACCCGGGGCAGTGCAAACAGTGGGAGTGTGGAGTGGGAAGGCTGGGCCCTGGGGGTCAGGGGCTCAGGTTTTGAAGTTACCAGTGCAATGAGGTTCCAGGGGTGCTTTCGTCGGAATTCTCCGCAGCAGCTAAGGGCAATGAGGGAGATGAAGAAGACAGCATAGGAAACATAGTAGGTCCAGACATTCTGCCGGACGAAGCCCTTCACCTCCTTGACGAATGTGAACACAGCCACAGTGGACAGAGTCACGGACAGCTGCAGGGTCAGCACCAGGAACACCTGAGAAAGGAGCTGTTCAGAGCCTGCCCAGTGCCACTGCTCCCCCAAACCTAGCTCCAGGCCCACCTTCCGGATGAAAGCCTGGCGGATACTCTTGTCATCCCAGTTGGTGGCAGGGAAGTCCTGGTTGTCATAGTAGGATGGGGGTCCCTCTTCATGATAGTTCCCATGCTGAGGTGCTGGGGAGCAGGACAGGCTGGATCAGTGCCACTTGTGGACGCCTGGAGCCCCCACCCTCCCTGAGCCCCTGCCCCACTACTTACAGTCAGGGTCCTGGCCTGGGAAGGCCTGTGGTTGTCCATAAGGGTTGGGTGGAAAGGGGCTCTGTGAATATGGCCCCTGAGGGTAGATCCCTTGGGGGTAAGGGCCTTGTGGGTAGCCCGCTTGGGGGTAGGGGCCTTGTGGGTAGCCCGCTTGGGGGTAGGGGTCCTGAGGGTAACCCCCTTGAGGGTAGGAACTGGGGGTGCCCTGGGGATACCCTGGCTGGCTATAAGGGGAAGGCTGGAATGGGGGTTGTGGGTAAGGAGCCCCTGGGTAGGGAGGTATGGAGGGCTGGGGCACCCCAGGATATCCAGGGTTGGGGGGAGGATAGTTGTCCCCAGACACCAAGAAACTCTTCTCATGAGGCATGGCCTCCAGTTCTGTGGTCTCCCCCTAGAGGAGAGAAAGAGAACAGTCAGCCCTGGGGTGACTTGTCCCCACCTACTGCTGGGAATCTAGACGCAAGGAGGAATTCATGACCTTTGCCTCTGGGCAGCAGGGAAGCCCCAAGCAGAGGAGCAGCTGAGTCCAGGAGGGTAGGGTGGGGACTGGGTGGGGGACTGGGTGGGTGGCTGGGCCTGGGGCTTCTTGCCTAGGGGCCGCTCTAGGCCAACCCCAAAGGTGGAGGAGACTACTGTCAGTTTGTTTCTTAAAAGCAAGTGGAAGGGCCTTCCCACTGATGCTGTGGTCTCCCGGGTCAGAGCCGGCCTGGTCGAGGTGAGAGCGCGGCCGGGAGATGTGGGGTGTGCCCGGACCCTCCCCTTCGCATCCCTCCTCTTAAGCAGCTTTAAGGGGCCAGAGCCGGCGTCTATTTCTATCCCAGGAAATCCTCAGGCCATCTGTGAGCAACGCGAGCCCTGAACCCTCTCGGAAAGCAGAGCCCGTCCGTCCCTCGCTCCAGAGTAGGGGCAGCAGGCCTGGATCAGCTGCCGGGGTGCCTGCCAGTGGGGTACGCTAGGAACAGAGGGGTGCGGGGGTGTGTGGGGGATGGAAGCAACCAGAGGGCGTGCTGGGAAACAAAGCGAGCGTGGGGGGAGAAGCAGATGGGGGCGGCGGCTACGGAACCTGCTCCGAGTGAGGGGTGGGCTTTCCTGCCTGGTCGGGGGCACTCGGGCCGCGGGTCTCACCGCCACTGCAGCGCGTCGCCCCCTCTCCCGCACCAGGCCATGGACCCTCGACCGCCCCCCCCCCCGCCCCGGCCCCAAGCGAGCGTCGCGTTCCAGCCAGACCGACCGACTGACCCACGGCGGCGCTGCTCGGCTGCGCAGGGTCCGCGCGGGGGCGGAGGCGACCGGCCCAGCGGCTCAGCGAGTAAACTGGTTGCTGGGCTTGGGCCGGATACTCACCACTTGCGGGGCGTCTCAGGACGGTGCGTACGATGTCGGCTGCGCGGCCGCGCGGTTGATGGCCGCTGCGCCCGCACCCGAACCGTACCCGCACCCGCTCCGCAGCCGTCTTGGCTGGGCCTGCGCCTGCGGCTCGGAAGACGCAGCGGGGCCTTGTGACGTGACGGGGCGGGGCCGAGCGTGGGGCGGGGCCACCGATGCGACTGTGCTGCTCTTGGGTGGACTTGACCCGCTGCGGCCCTGCCCAGGCCGGAGCCAGAGTCTCACACTGTCCCCGGAGAAGTGGGTTTGGGCCATGGGGACTGAGGACCCCCGGAGGCTGAAGTCTGCCTGGCCAGCTTGGTTCAGGGAGTTGAGAAATTTATTCCTAAACCCGGGATTACTGAGGTTGCCAAGCACTCTCCATCCTTTCTTGGCTTTAAAACACCACTTCCCACCCTGGCTGGTTTGGCTCAGCGGTTGGAACCTGGCATGCAGACTAAAGAGTCGAGGGTTCGATTCTGGTCAAGGGCATGTACCTCGGTTGCGGTTCAGGTCGGGGCTACCGGGATGTTTCTCTCTCTCACCCTCCCTCCCTCCTACTCTGTCTGAGATAAATAGAATGTCTTCTGGTGAGGACTAAGTAAATAAATAAAACACCACTTTCCCTTTTCATCCAAGGCTATCCCAAATCAAGAGACCTAATTATTTAATCATTCCATTATCTATACCAGTCATTGAAAGCAAATTATTCCAGGCTCCATAGGAGACCTTTCATTCTCACTGTCTTCATCACACCTTCACAACTACAAGGCTGCAATCCTTAGCCCTGTTTCACTACTAAGGGATTGAGGCTTAGAGATGCACCAGGACTGGAGGCTTCATTTCCCCCAGCTCCAATGGTCCTCCTGAGGAGGTGCTGACTGCCACAGTCAGGGACACCCCTGCTGCAGTGCCTCTCCACCTGGGCCTAGGGACTTTACTGTGCAATACTGGCTCTTGCATGGTTAGCTTCTCCCAGGTTCTGCAGTTGTTCAGAAAAGGTTCTGTCCTGTGCCCCTGGTGTGCTGGTTCAATGGTTAACAATTGTATCTAGGAAGGGGAAGCACTGATTTGCACCTTTTGCATATGACTGTGGTGTAAATACTCCCATCATGACTGATTCAAGCTACCACCAGTTGAACAACTGGGTCATAAAAATTCAACAATCTGGTCATGATAGGGGCTGCTCCAGTGCACTGCTGCCTGGGCAACACCTCTGCAGCAGGGAGCAGCATAATAGGTAAATTATACAGTGGGTTAGAAGGTATTGAGTTCTCAGAGGAGAGAAATATAAAGCAGGCAAGGGATACTTTCATGCTTTGTGGAACTAAAAGCTCATAACATTTGAGAAAATAAAAAATGAAAAATATGAAGTTGAGATCAGGGCCTTGGAAGTGGCCTGTATAGATCCTTAAAGATTTTTAGCATCAAGTTAAATCTGCTACTGAGTGGGGTAAGGTGGCCAGGTGGCTCTGTGAGAAAAGCCAATGCAAGGACACTGAGGTGGGATCAGTCTACTGCACTGGAGGGAGAGGTGGGAGCTGACTGAGCATGGGGAGTACAGGGGGATGGGGCTACAGAGGGGATTGGGGCTTGATCAGGCTGGGCCTGGCAGGCTCTGCAAAGGACTTTGGCTTTTATTGTGAGTGACTGGCTTTTACCATAACCCAAGCTGTAGCAGCTGTTGGTGCCACTTTACAAGGAGGGGCAGTGGAGGTGGGTAGGAGTGGCAAAGGGAGATTAGTTAGAATGTTAGTGTAGTGATCCAAGTGAGAGATGATGGAGACTCAGACCAGGGTGGGGGCAGCCAAGGTGTCAGGTGCACAGCTGGGTGCACAGGCTGGGCAGGTCCTCAGTCCCCTTGAGGAGCAGAGGAGGTGGAGGCTGATGGGTAAATGGGAGGTGGGAGGTAGATCACAGTTGTGAACACACCTCTTCTAGAGGTTGGAAGCAAATGGAGCATGGGCAGCAGGGGCAGGGCTCTGTGGCAAAAGGGAATTGGATTCTGAAGGTGAGGCCTGGGTGTGAGCACTACCCTGGGCCCTGTCTCTGCCTCTGTTTCCCCTTCTGTGATGAGGGTTCACTGCAGCAAGGCATGGTGCCTGCACCTTATGGGGTTAGGTATGATGACAGTGATGACGATGATGTAAGAAGGAAAGATTGGGCAGGTGCACAGACCAGAGAGAGAGCCAGGGAAGAGAGTGGAGGAGGCAGAGGAAGGCTGTGCTGGGAAGCACTTATAGGTAAAAATTGGGAGCTGCTCACCCTTAATACTCACTAAGTGTGAGGCCCGGTCACCCACTAGATGTGAAGGGTGAGGAGCAGGTTTGGGACAGTAGCTGGGGAGAGTTGAAAACCAGCATGAGCCAGGGGCATGCCTGGAGACCCAAGCTGCTCATGCTGGCAGGGAGGGGAACACAGAGGCTTGAGGTCCCTGAGTAGGGGCCAGTGACTCAAGCACCCTGGTGGATTTAGTAGGGAGGGTAATTGGCTATTTTTAGGTTCACAGAGAGAGGCCAGTGGGAATGGAGGACAGCCAGGGTCACTCCCCCTATCCTGCCAGTTAGTGGGCTGGGATGGGACAATGGGGCTGGTGAGCTGGACTAAGTGGTCATGTCCAGCCAACACCTTCTGGTCACTGGGGGCTCCTTTTGGACTGAGAAGGTGGGGTGGGGTGGAAGGCTCTGCTGTAGTGCCTGACAGTAGGAAGCAGCCACCCAGCCTGGCGCTCCAGGCCCCTCCCTTCCTCTTTCCCTCAGACAGTTTCACTTTTGTTTTCCGGACATAGGCCTTCTGCCTGTAGAGCAGGCTCAGGAGTCCTGGCTGAAGGTGTGTTCTGGGGCGGCCCAGGCAGCAGGCAGTGTAAGTGTAGGGTTTAGGTCGCCCATGAAGAAAGGGGTGCCAGGGAGAGCAATGGGAGGAAGGGGGGCTAGCAGGGGTTGGGAAGGGTGGGGTTGGACTGTGAGATAGCTACCCTACCTGCTGGTCCCTGTCCCAGGGTTGTGATGGCAGAGGCAGAGGAGGTGGGGGCAGCAGTGGAGCTCAGAGGGCTGCCCCCCAACGTCTCAGATGAACTTCTCATACTCTACTTCGAGAACCACAGACGCTCTGGGGGGGGACCTGTGCTGAGCTGGCAGAGACTTGGCCACGGAGGCATACTCACTTTTCGGGAGACTGCAGGTGAGGGAGCTGATGGAAAGAGCAGCCTGGGCACAGCAGGCCACCAGTCCTGACTCCCCACCTCTGCCCACAGATGCAGCAAGGGTCTTGGCCCAGAAGGAGCATGAGCTGCACGGTGCTCAGCTAAGACTGCAGCCAGCCCCACCACGTGCTCCTGCACGCCTGCTGCTCCAAGGACTGCCCCCTGACACTGCACCCCAGCGCCTGGAACAGTACGTCCAGGATCTGCTTCAGGCCATGGGGCACCTGGAGCAGCCCTGCCTTGCCCTGGCCAGTCCTCGACCAGACCGGGCCCTGGTCCAGCTGCCTAAGCCACTTTCTGAGGCAGGTAAGAGTGGGATAGGGGCAGGTGTACCCGTTAGGGGGTAACGCACTGAGCCAAATTGTGCTTTCTCCACAGAATTCCGTGTGCTGGAGGAGCAGGCTCAGACCCTGGGCCTGGAGGGAGCCAAGGTATCCCTGGCACCAGTGCCCCAGGCCCGAGCAGTGCGTGTGGTGGGGGTCACCACTCCTGTGGACCCTCTGCTGCTGGAGCTGTACCTGGAGAATGAGCGCCGCAGTGGTGGGGGCCCCCTGGTGGGCCTGCGCAGCCTACCAGGGCACCTAGGGACTGTGGTCTCCTTCCAGCAGTGGCAGGGTGAGTGGGGCTGGACAGACCTGGCCCACCCCTTTCATCCCCCACACCTTTGACAGGCCTCCTGTTCTCCCTTTCCCCAAGTGGCTGAAAGGGTACTACAGCAAAACCACCGGCTGCAGGACTCAGAGCTGAGCTTGGTCCCCCATTACGACGTTCTGGAGCCTGAGGAGCTTGCTGTGGACACCAGTGGAGAGGACCACTCAGCCAAGTCGGGGCTTGGGGCCACTGAGCATGCTCTTCTGGAGGCTGGAGAGCCAGTGAGGGCACTGAAAGGTGCAGAGACTGTGATCTTGGGCTGTGAGGAGGCACCCAACCAGTCACAAACCTCTCTAAGGACAGATCCCATAGGGTCTCTGGGTCAGGCCAGGCCAGTCAGCTCAGAGCCTGCGGGGTCTTTGGGACAGGAGGAGCTAGGGAGCCTGGGCCTCCTGGGGTCTTCAGGGCAGGCAGAACTGGTAAACTCGAGGCCTGTAGGATCTCCAGGCCCACTGGACTCAGTGGAGAATGCCATGGGGACTCTGGAGCAGGTGGAGTCAGGGAGCCTGGGGCCTGTGGTGTCACCAGATCAGGAGGGGCTAGTGGAGAAGGTGCTATTGATGGAGCCAGGAGCCATGCGCTTCATACAGCTCTATCACGAGGATCTTCTTGCTGGCTTCGGAGATATTGCCCTCTTCCCACTTGAAGGATCAGATATGACTGGCTTTCGGGTAAGTGACCTTTGAAGATTTCTCATCTTTGGCTCCCTCTCCCACTGGGAGTTCTTGGTACCTTTCTATAAGCTGCCCCCTCACTTCTGATGGTTCTGCAGCTCTGTGGAGCCCTGGGCCCATGCCAGGCAGCTGAGGAGTTCCTACAAAGTCTGCTAGGCAGCATTAGCTGTCATGTGCTGAGCCTGAAGCACCCAGGCAGTGCCAGGTTCCTGTTGGGCTCAGAGGGGCAGCACCTTCTTCAGGAGCTGGAGGCTCAGTTCCAGTGTGTCTTTGGGACGGAGCGTCTGGCCAGGGACACCCTGGACACAAACCCTGCAGAGGTAGAGTTGGAGCCCGCCCCGTCCCTCCCCTTTCTCACACCTCAGCCATTTACCTACTCCACCCCTGTTCAGAGGCCTGGGAGGGGTGTGGGCCCAGTGGACCTGAACGTTCTCTCCTGACAGGTGGACCCCACTGAGGCCCTCCAGGCCCTCCCTGGCCAGTCCCAGACTCTGTGGCCCCCAGACAGTTCAGGCAGTGACCAGGAGAACCTGAGCCTGGGTAGGAACGGTTCCTTGGGGACACCCAGCACATCCTGTGGCCTTTTTTAATCTCACCCTCTACCCCGCCCTGCTCCCCCATCTGTCATGTGACCCCATACTCCCTAAACCATCTTCACCTATTTCCTGACACATCCTATCCTTCAGCCCCACCCTGGCTGAACCCCTGAGCTGAACCCCTCACCCAGTGCCTATTCCTGTCCCCAGAGGAGGTCCGAGAGCTGCTGGCCACCCTGGAGGGCCTGAATGGGGAGGACTGGCTGCCCCTGGAGCTGGGGGAGGAAGAACCTGAGGAGCAGCCAGAGGAGGAGCCTGTACCCAGGGCTGGGGAGGAGCCCATGACCCCCAGCACTGGGGTACCTGGGCAGCTGGAGGAGGAAGCTGCACTGCAGTTGGCTCTCCACCGGTCGCTGGAGCCGCAAGGCCTAGTGGCTGAGCAGGAGGAGGCTGCTGCACTGCAGCAAGCACTGGCCCTCTCCCTGCTGGAGCCGACCCCACTGGAGGAGGAAGAGCTCCTGGGTCGGGGGACTGATGGCCAGGCACAGCTGGTAGTACATGCGGCCTTTGAGCAGGACATGGATGAGCTGGACCGGGCACTAGGGGCTGCCTTGGAGGTACACCTGCGGGAGGAGAGAGTAGGGCTTCGGGGTCACATGCTGCCCACAGAACTGCGTGCCCGCCTGGAGCAGTGCCATGGTGTGAGTGTTGCCCTTCACAATGACTGTACTGTCCTCCGTGGCTTTGGGGTCCAGCCCACCCGGGCGGCCCGCCACTTAGCAGCACTGCTGGCTGGACCTCAGGATCAGAGTTTGACTTTTCCCTTGGAGGCTTCGAGCCCCATCAGTGAGTCTACACCTGGGACTGGGAGGAGGTGGGGTGGGCTAGCTCTCAGGGACCCACCCATGCCTCCAGCATGGCCTGGGTCCTCTTTTTCCCCATGTGTCAGTGCCACAGCAGAGCCTGAAAGGGCCCTTGGGCAGGCTGGAGCGTCTGGCTGAGAACAGCTCAGAGTTCCAGGCAGTGGTGCAGGCCTTCTACAACACCCTGGACACTGTCCACAGCAGGATCCGCATTGTCCGGGTGAGTCTAGGTTTGGTCCTGTCAGCCTCAAGGCCTCATGGGCTCATGGCACCATCTTTGCCTTGCAGAGCCTGTGGACTGTCGTTCTTGCCTGTCAGGGTCAGTTGGCTAGGAGCTGTGCATTGTGGGGCAGGCTGGAAGCTGTTGGGGGAGGGAAGAGCATCAGGCTTCCCAGCACTGTTCCCTGAGCCGAGGGCATTCACAAAGTCTGGGTTGGGGAGAAAGGGCATAGAGATTGAGGGGTCCCAGGACCCAACTGGCTTGAGCGGGTCCCTGCATTGCTAATTACACCAGGGTGTGGCCCTTTCCACTGCATTTTTCTCATTTGGAGGACGAGGTGGTCATGCCATCTTGTGGCTATTGTGAGGATTGCTCATTCCACAGATAATGTGCTTGTGTTGTTCTTGGGGGCTCTTCTGCCTCTCATGGTTCTGCTCCAGCAAGAAGAGGGCTGGCTGCAGGGCCATAGCCTCCTCCTGTTGTTTTACTTGCTAAATGTGGGAACTCTGAGCATGGGTGTGCTTCACAGAAGGCTGGGACCAACTAGTGGGAGGGACAGCGAAACCCCAGGAGCGCAGGGAGAAGAGGCTGAGGAGGGACTAGGGAAGGGGAGTGTTGCAGGGTAGCGAAGTCCAGGATATCTGCATGGCCAGAAGGAACAGTTGAGGAGGAGGCTCTGCCAGGCTGGTCAGCTGACAGTGAGTGCGGAGGCAGGACTGGAGCTGAAGCTGGGCTGGGGGATGCAGAGTGAAGGGGAGGTGAGGACAGGAATCAGTCTGAAAATGAGCTCATTATGGAAGGAAGGAAGGGGATGAGAGTAGCTGGAACAGAGCAGGGTTGAGTTCTCATGCATGACAGGGAGGGCTCACAGAAGGCAAGAAGGAAGGGACAAGAGAGCTGGGTTCTTTGTGCCAGTAATGCCAAGTGGGTGGACACAGCAGCCGTAGTTACCTGGAACTGGTCAGAAAGGCAGAACCTCTGGCTTTCCCCAGACCTGGCCCTGTCAATCACCACCATCCACCATTACCCACCACCACTGGTTTCCTGGAGATGATCACTAAACTTTGGACCAAGTACATTTCCTCCACTTCTGGACCTAGCAACTGTCCCTTCTGTGTTTTGGGAGAAGAGGGACACACTGCAGTCACATCCTTGACTTCCTAGCAGGTTTTGTCAGTTATGTGCACTTCAGTCTTCCAGGCAGCACCTGTGTGACTCTAGAGGGTACACCTGAGTCTCTTTATTTCCCCACTTAACTTTGGAAACTATTTCCTGTCTTCCTGGGTGGAAGGTGAGGGGGATGGCCTCCCTTCCCCCTCTCTTTTCTCCATCTTCCATCTCACAATGCATTTACATCATCTTTACTCTGTCATCAAGGATGACAAATGGACATCATCTTCTATTCTGTAACCATCAAAAGTTCCCCCCTTCAGCAATAGGTTGATGGATATATAATGATAATGAAGGAATATTAATTACCATTGAACCACAGAGCACATGGAGAAATGAAGTTCTAGTGATTGAAACTGGGTTTTGTGAAGGAGGATATTCTAGGTTCAAGGCCTGATAGCTCTTTTTTCCCTCACTTTCTCCATTTTTTTCTGTGCTGTGCTTGGCTGCTGGGTTGCTCTCCTGGTCACCCTCTTGCATAGATCTTTTTTCTGTTCAGTAGAAGTATCTCCTTGAGTGAGTAGTAACCATCCTGAACTTTTAAATTTAGTTTGACTTTTACAATTAGAGGTAATTTGCAACTATAATTTTATTATTATTATTATTTTTTTTAATCCTCACCCGAGGACATTTTTCCATTTTTTGTTCATGTAGAGTGGGAGGGAGAGAGAGGAACAGAGAGAGAGAGAGAAACATCGATGCGAAAGGAACACATCGAGTGGCTGCCACCCGCACAACCCACCAGGGCCGGGGACAAACTGCAACCGAGGTACGCGCCCTTAGCGGGAACCGAACCCGGGTCTCTCAGGACCGCAGGCCGACGCTCTAACCGCTGAGCCAAACCGGCCAGGGCAATTTGCAACTATAATTTAATATTGATGTCAATTATTCTTTTTCAGACAAAAGTTGCATGTGTTTCTTTTAGACATTTCTGTTAACTTAAATTAGCACAGCTGGTTGGTTCTTGCCTGTCTTAATGTATCCTGATTTCGTCCTCATCAATAATAGCTTGGCTGGATATAGTGTTCAGGGTCAAAATATGTCTTCCTCCAGATCTTTGAAAGATGGTCCTTTTCTTTTATCTTAAAAAATTTTGCTCTTGGAAAGTTAAAAAAAAAAAAAAATCTCTCTCTCTCTATGGTTTCTTAGCACCCAGCATTGGCAGTGAGAAGCCCAGTGTGCGAATGTGAGACTTTCCCATTTGTATGTTGACATTGGTGTGTGTGTGTGGCTTTAATAGTCTTTCACTTTGAAGGTTGGCATTTTCCGGCAGGTAGGTGCCAGGGATGTGTCCTTCCCCACTGCCCTTGTCATCTCATGGGTCCTTTCCACATGGGGACATTGCCTTTAGCTCAAGGAAATTGCCTTGCATTAGTATCTCACTTGCTCCTGTCACCCTCTGTCCTCTTCTTGTGGAGTTCCTGTTGCACAGACCTCAGTCCTCCTCCGCCTGTCTTTTCAGTTTCCATTTCTTTTCTTTGCTCTGTATTCTGAGTCACTCCTTAAATCTATCTCCATGATCTTATTATTTGGCCTACCTGCTAGATTTAGTTCAGCAATCTCATTCTTTAAAATTTTTTAAAATTTGCCCTGGCCGGTTTGGCTCAGCGGTTAGAGCGTTGGCCTGTGGTCCCGAGAGACCCGGGTTCGGTTCCCGCTAAGGGCATGTACCTCAGTTGCAGTTTGTCCCCAGCTCTGGTCAGTCGTGCGGGTGGCAGCCACTCGATGTGTCCCTTCACGTCGATGTTTCTCTCTCTCTCTGTTCTTCTCTCCCCCTCCTACTCTACCTGAACAAAAAATGGAAAAATGTCCTCTGGTGAGAATAAAAAAAAAAAAAAATTAAATTTATTTTTCAATTAATCATCAATTCCATTCCTAATGTAAGAACTCGCTAATTTTCACATTAGCGAGTCTTGTTTTATGGATGTAATATTCTTTTTCTTTTTTTATCATCCTCATCCGAGGACATTTTTCCATTTTTTGTTCAGGTAGAGGGGAGGGAGAGAGAGAGAGAGAGAGAGAGAGAGAAACATCGACGTGAAAGGGACACATCGAGTGGTTGCCACCCGCACGACCAACCAGGGCCGGGGACAAACTGCAACCAAGGTACACGCCCCTAGCGGGAACCGAACCCGGGTCTATTAGGACCGCAGGCCGACGCTCTAACCGCTGAGCCAAACTGGCCAGGGCGGATGTAATATTCTTTTGCATCCCCTTGCAGAGACTATATTTCCTTAGTAACTTTGTGTGGGTCCCTGAAGCTCATCCATAGCTGTTTGATTGGTCACCTGGTCTTCCCAGCACCGAGAGGTCCATGGGTATCTCTTGGTATTGGAGTGAAGTCCTGCGGGCAGGGTGGGCACCTAGCTCAGCTCTTGTCTGCAGAGGCTTGTCTGTGGGTGCCAAGATCTGGTGAGTGATTGAGTTTGCCCACCTCCAGGCCTCCCTGGAAGAAGCCCTCCAGTGCCACTTGGGGTCCTATCCAGGTGGCTAATGTCCACTGCTCCACAGAGCACTACTGGGGCCGTGTAGTCTCCCTGGACCCTGCCCTTCTCCAACACAGGGCTCTTGATTTCCAGGCTCAGCTCTGTCCCCTTGGCCCAGACGATAGGGATTGTCTCCAAATAACCCTGTGACCGCCTGGCAGGTGGAACGCGTGTTGCACCCGCTGCTGCAGCAGCAGTACGAGCTGCACCGAGAGCGCCTGGAGCAGCGCTGTGAACGGCGCCCAGTGGAGCACGTCCTGTACCATGGCACGTCGGCGCCCGCTGTCCCAGACATCTGCGCGTATGGCTTCAACCGCAGCTTCTGCGGCCGCAATGGTGAGGCCTGGGTCCTGCTTGGGCGTGGGCTCTGCTGCCCAGTGGGGCCCTGACCCCAGCCCATCTTGCCTGCAGGCACGCTCTACGGGCAGGGCGTGTACTTCGCCAAGCACGCCTCCCTGTCGGTGCAAGACCGCTATTCGCCCCCCAATACCGATGGCCACAAAGCAGTGTTCGTGGCACGAGTGCTGACCGGTGACTACGGGAAGGGCCACCGCCAGCTGCGGGCACCCCCTCTGCGGGGCCCGGGCCACGTGCTTTTGCGTTACGACAGTGCCGTGGACTGCCTCCGCCAGCCCAGTATCTTCGTCATCTTTCACGACACCCAGGCGCTGCCCACCCACCTCATCACATGCGAGCACATACCCCGGCCTCCCCCTGGGGACCCCTCTGAGCCCTTGGGCCTCTCCCCGGCCACCTAACCCGAGAGGTCCCTCTCGGCCCTGTCTCTGGCGCCCTGTCTCTAGCCTCCGCTCCCCAGGCTCCAGCTCCACACACCCTTACAGGTCTCTCCCCTGCCTGAGCGGCCCTGTGAACTCCCCTGCCTCCTGTTGCGGTGTGGGGACAGGCGGTGCAACGAGGAGGGCTGGGGCCCGGTGCCCTCAGTGGCCAGCCCAACCACCAGGGGTCAGCAGAGCCCAGGAGGAGGGCTGATGGCCCAACACCAGCTGCCTAGGCCAGACCTTCCCCAAGCGCGACTCTGTCATTTGAATAAACGTGGAACAAGGCAGAGGGACCTGCTGGAGCTTGGCGTCTGCTCTCTGTTGAAAAGCGGGAGGGACCTCCGCGTGGCTAAGGGCAGAGCCCGCTGCTCCTTTGGGGCGGTTCTGGGCAGAGAGCCGAGACCCGACCCCGCTCGCACCCGAGCGACCCCACGTCGCCTTAGTGTCACGCACGCACGCACCCCCAACAACGTCTCCTTGCCGACCGTCCCACTCTGTGCGCGGGTAGGTGTTGGTTCCTGACGGTAGGAGTGTGCGCGGTGGGGGCACTGCCCAGGCGGAGCCGCACTCGTGTTCCAGTCCCGCCGCCTCCGTAAGCTCCCAGCCCCGCACGCACGCGGGCGCCAGGATCCCACCGGCGGCGTTCGGTTTGGAGCCGGGGCGGGGCTCCGGGCTCGCCCCGCCTGCAACGCCTCCACGGCTCTCCGGGTCCAGGCAGTCTGGCTGCAGCGGCCGAGCCTAGCCGAGCTGAGCCACCAGGCACGTATGACCGGGGCTGGGATGGAGAGGCGCGCGGCTTGAGGGAGCTTCGGGGTGGGGTGGGGGCTCTCCGGCCGCAGGCGTCCCGGAACTAGGGACTGCGCGGCGGCCCAACCTCCCTCGGGAGGACACCACCTTTGCGCTGCGGAGACTGCGGAACTGGTCGGGCGGTGCCCAGGGTGTGGACAGGAAAGATTATTGGAGAGGTTCGGCTGACCCCCGGGCGCTGGGTGGGGGACTGAAGTACAGGCGGCCGGTAGGGGAGCCTGTGGGAGGCGGGGCGGAGTGGCCCCTAGGCCGGTGCCCCCAGTCTCCTCCCCATACCTTAGCCTGAGGGCCGAGGCACAGAGCCCACATTGTGCCCCCACGTTACCCCACCCCCGCCGGAACAGAGCCCCATTCACCTCTCGCACGCCAGCGTTCTTGGGGACGGGAGCTGAGGAGTGTGCACGCGTGGGTGTGCGTGCGCTCGGCAGTGCCCGCCGTGCGGGTGTGCGAGCACTCGGGGTGGGCGCTGGAGTCGCGGCCCCGGGCTCCCTCCCAGCCTTGCCGCAGCCAGCTCCTGCGGCCCACGCCGCTGCGGCTCCAGCTATTTATAGGAGTTCACTGCGGAGACCTAGGTGGGACTGTGCGGGGCTGGGAGTGGGGTGGGGCCTTGGGGAGTCCTAGAGGCTGAGACAGCTTGGAGGTACAGCGCCATTGTCCAGGGGATGGGGTCAGGGTCCTGGAGGGGAGGAGCAGCAGTCAGTGTTTCCTGATGGCCTGGCTTTCCTGGTGATGGGAGTATTAGAAGAGAGGGGGGTCCAGATTTGGGGTGGTGGGGGTGGAATCCAGTGTCTGAGTGATGGGGTGGAGGGTGGGGTCAGTGTCCAAGTGAAGGTAATTACCCCCTCCCCTCCTGTTAGTCAGGGTAAACGGTGAAGGGTAGGGTCAATGTCCTCTGATGCTGTGAGCCTATGGGTGACAGCATAGAAAGGTCAGTGTTTGGGTGACTAAGAGAAGGGAGGGGCAGCAATGGGGGGGGGGGGAGTCAATGTCCTAGTGATAGACTGGAGGGAGTGAGGTCAATGCTTGGGAGGGGGTCACTGTGTGGTGTCTGAGGGATGAGCTGAAGGGGGTGAGACCAGCTGTGGATGGGGGGAGAGGGAGGGGGGTCAGTATGTGAATGAGGTGGGACATAGGAAGGGTGTGGGTGTCAGTGTCCAGGTGATAGGGTGGATGGGGTGGGGCCAGTGTCTAGGTTAACAAGGTGGTGGGTCAGCGTGCAATACCCCCCCATATGACCCCCTCCTTCTCCCTCTCCAGGAGGCCATGTCGGGCGAGGACCAGGAGGTGCGGACAGTGGCTGAGGATGGCTCCAACGGAGGCAGCGGCTCACCCAGCCCTGGGGACACACTGCCCTGGAACCTGGGGAAAACGCAACGGAGCCGGCGAAGTGGAGGTGGCTCCGGGGGCAATGGCAGTGTCTTGGACCCTGCCGAGCGGGCAGTCATCCGAATCGCAGGTAACGGGAAGGGCCTCATTTTCCAGTTTTAAGTGCTGGCTGGTTTAAGCTGCTGTGTGCTCTGTGCAGGTGTAGGACTGGAAGGAGAGGTGAGAGATCTGTGGGTCAGAGAGGGCCTCCTCTCCTGTCCTGGGTGATTGCAGACAGCACAGCGCCACCTGCTGGGCCCACCCAGTCTGCTGCACAAGGCCTGAGGTTAAAAGCTTGCTGTGGTGGCGCCATCACCGGACTCAGGACCGAGTCCAGTGCCCCAATGCCCCAATGATACTTTCTTGTGCTCCTGGGGCAGAGCTGCTTTTCAGCGTCCCCCCTCCCCCGCCTCGGTCGTGGCTGCCATCATGGGGGGTGGGGCGGTGGAAGCTCGTGGGAGCAGGAGGGTATACTTGGTTGGTGAAAGCTGAAGCCCTTCCCTGACCCACGGCCCAGCCTTGCTCTCCAGTAGTTGCTATTCTGGGGAGGAGGATGGGAAAGGCCAGGGAGAGGCCTCCAACAGTGTAGGGCTGGCAGCTGGACAGTGCCCCCCTCCATTTGGGAAGTGGGTGACCTAGTTCTGAAAGTCACCCCAGGAAGTGCTGGGCAAGGAAGGAGCCCATTGAGGGTCTCTACGCCGGGCTTCAGAGTCCTGACCCCAACCACCACTAGGACCCAGATGATGATGGGGCGTTTGGAGGGCAGGGCTGGCCCCTGAAGAGGCTAGCTGCTGAGCCGGGATAGTGTTGTGGGCCGCAGGGGACTTTGTGAGACAAAGGAGCAGGGCAGCAGGACAGGGTGAAGACTCCATCCCCCCCACTCCCCACCCCAGGGGCAGGTGTGGGTGGGGCCCATGACCTGACAGGTGTTTTCACGTATCACATATGGATTTTAAAAGCGGTCCTTTTTCCCCACATGAAAGGAATCAGGAATGTCCTTCAGAGTCACCCTGCCTTAGCACTGGGCTCTGAGCTACCCTGCAGCCAGGGCCCAGGGCAGGGCCTTTGTGTGTTGCCTGCTGATTTTCTTAGCATTGACTCCTAGAAGAGGGGTTTCTGGTCACAGGTATGCAGCGTTTAATAGAGAGAAATATGGCCCTGGCCGGTTTGGCTCAGCGGTTAGAGCATCGGCCTGCGGTCCAGAGAGACCTGGGTTCGGTTCTCGCTAAGGGCACGTACCTCGGTTGCAGTTTGTCCCCGGCCCTGGTTGGGTTGTGTGGGAGGCAGCCACTCGATGTGTCCCTTTCACATCCATGTTTCTCTCTCTCTCTCTTCCTCTCTCTCCCTCCTACTCTATCTGTACAAAAATGGAAAAATGTCCTCAGATGAGGATTAAAAAAAGAAATATTCCAAGGGCATTCCAGAAAGGAAGGCATTTGTCAATGCTGAGAGAAGGGTCTTGGCCAATTTGACGGGTAGAAAAGAATGATTTTATTTGTACCAAGCATTTTATTTCTTCTGAAAATTCTCTATTTCTGCCCATTTATAGTACATAAGGTTTTTGGCTTTTTTTTTTTCTCCCAATCTATTTTAAAGGCCCTTTTTATGTTGATGATACCAATTCTAGCTTCAATGTTGCAAGGGAAGGGTTCTAAGTAGAGGCTGAGGAAGAGGAGGGAGGAGGGAGGGGCGCGCCCGGAGGCAGTCAGGTGAAGTCGCTGGATCCGACAGGGTTAGGGAGAAGTCGGGGCTGGAGAAGGAGGGGGCTGCTACGGGGCTGGGAGAATTCAGGCTGTTGGCAGGAACGCGACCCGCTGGCACGCGCAGTGGGGCCACCACGCGGAGCCCGCGGAGCCCGCCCCAGCCCGGCCAACACCGTTAGGCGCCCGGACTTGCGCCGCAGTTCCCCTGGGCCACCGCCGGCTCCTGGCCCCGCCCCGCCCCTCCCGTGGGGCATCCTGGGTGCGGGGCGGGGCGGGGGCGGCCCCTTTAAGTGGCGCTCGCGGACGCAGGGACAGAGTGGCCGCAGAGGGCTGGAGGTTCCCTCCACGCCGCAGCGCCCCGCCGCGTCCCGCGCCCGCTGGCATGGCCGCCCTGCTGCCGCTGGGCCCCCCACCCGACGAACAAGACTTCATCCAGGCCTACGAGGAGGTGCGGGAGAGGTACAAAGGTACGGTGTCGCCAGCCCCGGCAGGTCCTCCAGCCGACAGACTGGCCTCTGACACCTTGTCCGCTCTGGCTGTCCCCATCGCGGCCCAGACAGAACCCAGTCCCCCACCCGGCTCGCTCGACCCCGCGGTTCCCGCGCCCTGGGAAGAAGCCGGCGCCCTCAGCGCAGCCCCCGCCGTCATGCCCTTAATAGGACATCGCGCTGCGCGGGTAGGTGGGGTGGGCCGCGCAGCGGCGGGGGCTCCTCCTGGCCAGTGGCCAGTGTCCCCAGTCTATGCTCAGCAGACACGTGGGTCAAGGCTGAGCTGTTCTCTGCCCCTCAGCTGGGTGCCTCCCACATGGGGCAGGGGCGGCTGTCACCGCCTGGCAGTGGGTCGCATAGTTGTGGCCTTTCCTCACCTCCCAAACTGGCCAGCGCCTAGGCAGCCTTCCTTCCTTGGCAGGGACCCTCCTTACACCCTTCCTCTGTCCCCTGGGTGGCAGCTGTGGGCTGGGGAAGTCTGGGCAGCCCCCTTTTCCTCTTCAGAGGAAACCGTTTGGTGGCTTTTGGCGAACCCCCTTGTCCTGCTCCACCGCCCTGGGCTTCTCTGGACCTACCCAGACCCTCACTTCTGTCAGCCACCTGCAGCCCAGTGCCGGGGTCGCCAGGCTCTGAGCCGGCGTGCACACAGCTCTGGCTCCCTGCCTGGCCCGCTGAGGCTTAGGGGCCTGGGAGTGAGCTGCTGGAGAGGGTGGAGGTAGGGGCCTTGGGGAGAGCTGACCAGAGCAGGTTCCAGCTCCACAGGGCTGGTTTTGCTGGCTCTGCCCCCAAGGACAGCTCAGGGAGAGTAGTCCTGCTGGGGCCTTGCCTGGAGCCTTGTGGAACTGCTCTCCATCCACTGACCGCACCGAGGCAGGTCCCCACATGAAATCCACAGGAATGTCCTTACACACTGTAGCCTTCTGCTGGGCCCAGGGCTCATCTCTGCCCAAGGGTCCTTTGCAAATAGCTTCTGTTGGGTCCTGAGGCGGGTAGATGTGCTGTGAGGTTCTCCTTGCCAGCACTGTGGCCAACTGTTTGCTTCTGTGACCAGTTCACCTGAACCAGGTAGAGACAGTCCTGTGACAATGGGCTCCAGGTCTGACCACTGCACCCACAGGGAAGAAGAGTACATCTGGACATATGCAGGGCAGGGAAGCAGCCACCCACCCGGACCACGGCTCTCCTGACAAACCCTAGGACAGCTGTTTATGAACTGGCTGCTCTCTGTTTAAAGTGGGGACAC